TCTATCGATTTAATATAATTGATGGATCCTTGTCAATATTGGAGATTAGGGTCAGAATTAATATTCATTGGGACGTGCTACATCGGTGCTGATTCATTTAGTTGTTTGTGCCAAGAGAATCCAAATAAGCCGACAGCAATGGATATCTTGACATAGCGTGTTTCATATACTCTTCTTGATGTAGACATATTAGCTTATACGATTAATTATGGCACTGTGCCATTTCAATAATTTCATTAAAATATTACAATTTAGGTATTTATCATCAATTAACCAAACTTAAATACAAAATTATCTTACCAAACCAAAGAGAACTTATAAAATATTTACGCGTATTATTTTTATATTTTATAGTTTATAGGTCTGTAATGTATTTTACATTACAGACCTATAAACTATAAAAGTGCTAAAATAAATAAAAATATTGTAAATTGTAATAAATTTTTTTTATAATATTCTTTGATGTTATAATATAAACAACTCTATCGCATTATAACCTCTAATATTTATATATACTCACACTGCGAAATTTTTTGCTGAACTGAAAATCGCCGCGGTTTCTAAGTTCAAGACGTCACAAAATCCATAAAGCCTCGTTATCAATTGAGTGAGAAGGACTTCAAACTTGTAAGCCGAAGATCCTAGCTGCGAAGTTCCGCGGCAGGTTTTATCTGATCTCTACATTTTGCTGAAATACTAATTTAACATTACCGAATACTATTTTATGAACTTACATAGCTTGTTACTACACGTTTGTATACTTCATTAACAATAATGTATTATTATTAGGTATGTAACGTATTATTAAGTATTTAGTGGTTATATGATATGTAATGTATTTTGTAATATAAAAAATATCTAAACCATAATATTTATGTCAATTATACTACAGATGAAATCAAACTCTTTTAAAAGACAAAAGCAACATCGAAACTGATTCATGTACATATCCCTTTTTAAAAACTAATTGCCTTAAGTTGATAGATTTTCAAATACTGTGTTTTATTAAATTGAAAAGATTAATATCATTGTATATTTTTTATATGTTACTATAATACTGAAAGTAAAATAATTAATTTTCAAATACAAATTTAGTTTTGCTCAAAACACCTACATATGTATATCAATTTCATTTACAACTGCTAGTACTAATTAAAATATTTTCTATACATTTCAAACAGGCTGTGTAAATAATATACTACAAAGTACAACATACGGGCGCTTCGAAAATACTAGACGCGTTCCCGTTTTAATTAGCATTTTGGTAGATTTATGAAATTGTAAAGCGGGTTGCACAATATATGCATGAGGACGACATGGTGACCGAACGACCCCATTGGGACACTGTGCGCTTGCTTTTAAAGTGAGGCCATAACATAAGCGGAACGAGGAATATATCATCACAAGTTGTTCACACCTGCAATTTCATCAGCTTTTTTTAATACAAAAGATTGCGAATGTCCGTCTTCGTTACATAACATATCTTTACATATTTTTTATTCATTATCGTTCAGTAATTCGGTAAAAAGTAATGAACAGACTGAAATATTTATAACATTAAAATGAATTTAAGAAAATAACGATAAAAATAAAATAATTTATTAGTGATACAATAAGGCAATTATATATTTAATTGATATACACATTATAGAAACCAATATAACTTTATATACGTAGTAATATATAAACGAAGAACACGTGCATATAGAAAAACTTCCTTTACAAAAAATAGAATGACCTTTCGTTTCTAAATATAACCTTTATTTCTTGTCTATGACGAGTGTTGGTAACAAACTCTTAAACAGAGACAGTAGATCTTAAAAGGATCATACCTCCTAATAAAAAATATAAATGTAACCTATGTTATACTTTACAATTTCGAATAAAACCAGTACAAATAAAATACACAAAGTTATTATCTGAACCGGAGGGATAATAAGGGTTTACTTTCTATTCCCGCTGCTAACCGCTCCATACATTTCATTATGACGTCACGCTAATTAGTTTTTTAATGTGCCCTCAGAGCTCGATTAGGGGAGACCCACTTAACTTTATCGTTTCATATTTTATTTATTTTATTTCGTTGTCATACGGCCTCTTTATATCCAAACCGCTTTATTATTTTAATTAGTGTATAATAATAATTCCCTTTGTACAAGAAGGGATATTATATATAGATATAAATATTTATGACTTTAGTTGCTTTTTTATTGTTACAATATAGTAATAATATATAGTCTAGTTTAACATCATAGTTTACGCTGGCGAGGCACCAGTGGAGAATGATAAGATGAACATGACATCAGGTTAGTTAGCCCTTTGTAAAAAATTCTTCAGGAATTTATCAATATGGTTTCCATGGTGAACCGCGTGTCTACCTGACATGGTACATTGCTAGCAATGAGATCAACAGTTCACATTACTAAGGATCCCCTTCCTCCCTAAGGAACCAATATTAGTTGGTCTGGTCTCTTAATTTCAATATTTCAGCACGCTAGACCTTCTATGAAGTAGATAGAATATTTGTGAAAGCAATATACTAAAGCCATAACCAAAGCCATAAGATAATAAAAATTTCTGAATATTAATGAAGCATTCGTCTAATACAGCATACTAGACACTATCAATACGAATAAAGTCGTGAACTTATACATGGCAATAAAACTATCTTTTAAGGATCTTTGATTTTATTGTACCTTACAAAATTGGGTAGGCCTTGACCTGGTCATTTGTCGCCTTATCCCGTTCGTTTATACGTTACAATGTAAAACTGTCTTTTAAGGATCTTTGATTTTATTGTACCTTACAAAATTGGGTAGGCCTTGACCTGGTCATTTGTCGCCTTATCCCGTTCGTTTATACGTTACAATGTAAAACTGTCTTTTAAGGATCTTTGATTTTATTGTACCTTACAAAATTGGGTAGGCCTTGACCTGGTCATTTGTCGCCTTATCCCGTTCGTTTATACGTTACAATGTAAAACTGTCTTTTAAGGATCTTTGATTTTATTGTACCTTACAAAATTGGGTAGGCCTTGACCTGGTCATTTGTCGCCTTATCCCGTTCGTTTATACGTTACAATGTAAAACTATCTTTTAAGGATCTTTGATTTTATTGTACCTTACAAAATTGGGTAGGCCTTGACCTGGTCATTTGTCGCCTTATCCCGTTCGTTTATACGTTACAATGTATATACTTCTATAAACATTCTTATGCATTACTGATTACAGACTATTATTTCTTTATATGCCAAAAAAGTAACAAGCCTAACTAATCGAAAGTGGTAAGCATCACCAACATACACGGACCAACCACGAACCTATCAGACGGATAATAAATAATCGAGGCTATTTAGTTTGAAAATCCTATCCACAGCAGTGGATGTGGAGTTTTCCGTTTCTTGCTCCATTGTATTTATGTTTTGTTATAATCTAAATCGAAGAGTGAGATATGGTAATGAAATTTGAAATTCAGAGTACGGAAGCATGACACCTTAGTTCTCAAAACTGGTAAAACATTACAATCTCCACGGGTTTCTTGTGATATCTGTGAATTTATTTAAGTTAATTCAAGTGAATAGTCGGGTCTTTTACCAGACGTACTTATTAAAAGTTAGTGTTCAAAAACTTATGTACTATTTATATAATTCATTCAATCAAGACTTGAATGTCAAGACCAACGTTCTGTCATGATAAAAGGTCTGTAATGAGACCTACGTCTGTTATTTCAGACCTCATTTAAACTGAAATTAAATCCTCAACCACTTTAGTAGAATAAAAATGACTTTGTCTGCTGTAACATTTTCTTAACATATATTATTTAAATACAAAAGCAAGTGTAAATCGTATGAGTCAAATGTTAATAGAATTTATCTCCCTGTCTTTAGTTATATTTTAAAGTTTATTAAAAAAACAATGTTTTTTATTATGCAAAAATATCGCATAACATTTAAAGAGGACTTTTAAAGTTGACTGAAAACAAAATGGATCCTTTCATTCCATGTGGGGCGATGAATTCTTGATAATCAATATTACCCCCACTCTGCTAAATATCTTTGATTTTATGTACAAGAACGACTCTTCATTACAATGGAGCCGACTAACTAATAGATATGTAAATTCTTTCATTACAGTATCAAAGTGTAACTCAACACGCACTAATAAGATAAAATGGAACATTTCCTTCCTTTTAACATAATTGCGTTTACATTGAATTTTCTAGTAGACAAATATAGACAGATGAAAATGTCTATTAATATAAAAAATAACAAAACAATACTTGTTAAGTAAGTAACGTATATTTGAGAATTCTGTAATCTAACTACTATTTCAATTAGTATGAAAATAACATTCAAGTAAACGAGTATAGACAGGTTAACTCTATTATTGCCCAAATCGCCCTCTTTTTCTACTGAATGAGAGAAATAAATAAAAGGAGATAGTTGTATTTGAAAAATAGATTATTTATATCACAGATAACATAATATTACATAATTTGTATGAAGTACGAGTATATCAACTAGACATAGCGCACAAACTCCTAAAACATTAAATATATAGAAATCGTTTAATCGTATTTAGAAATGAATATTGTGTATAGATAGCATCTTGAACTTATCCATATTATATTTTTTTATGCAACTTCGAGTAGCAAATAAATTGATAGACTATCTGATGAAAAATAGGAACTATCTTCTATAAACATGGAAAGTATACAACTTTTATAATCCTAGTCATAGTACACAATGTCATGTAGATTGCACCACGTAGATACAAAATAAGCAGAGCGTATGCTTTGTCTACTAACTAATTGATATACTTACTTAAATACATTTTTTGTATACACATATATTATAATTCACTAAGCTATCCCTAAAGATATTTAATGGTAAGTGATTGTCAAGAAATATCTCGCCCTTGAAACTGAAACAGCTCAGTTGCTTAGCGATAGAAATATCTGCTTTCAATATCAAATGTTTAACATTATTTACATTGTTTCAGGAGTTGACGACACACATAAGTTCCTGGGGAACGAGACACACACAGACTACTTCAGATTATTGTTAAGAGACGGCAATTATCTTCTGGTTGGTGGCAGGTGAGTGCTTTTGCAGTTCTACAAATATTTATATGACTCGTAAAATTACTATCTCTTGGGAAAAGCGAACTGATGTTGTAGAATATCAACTGAGAAGCGCGCTTTTAACAAATTTTCGTATAATATTACTTTTACAATGCAGAATATAGTAAAATCAATGTACTGATTAAAAGTTCAATTGGTTGTCGAATGCTGGAGAGTCTGTAGATTGACAACCTGCTGATTTTACTTGTTCGTACTTTGTATTCATTCATATAGCTAATATAAATGACTTAGCTTTTATGAATGTACTAGAACTAAAATTCTGATATATTAATACACTAGTAATAAAACACCGAAAACTTGTATAATAAAACACAGAAAACCAAATGTATCATTGAAAAGTGAGAATGAAATAAAAACTATACTAACTTAATAGCAATCACGTGCACCAAATGAACCGAGAAAAATTCATATTGCAAATAACTTAAAGTTTTCCATTTTTCAATTTGAACTTTATAAAACAATTGATATTCGAACGGAAACGAAGCGGCCAGATACATACAGGAGGGCCACGGAAACTTATCTCTCTAGTAACACCTATTTCGTTTTAAAAGACTCAAAGTTATACATTCAAATGAGATACTTAGTTATTTGTTTTTCCAACTCCACTTCAATTCGTAGGAAAGTTAGGGTACCCTTAACCGCTGCGACTGAAGCGGGAAGAACGTGCTGTATCTATCCGAGACCGCAAAGAGCTAACTCGAATGCACATCTCTTCTCCCATTCTATCTAAACAGATTCGAGATAGCGCTCTCTCGTTTGCATTTATAAAGATTTTTGGCTTGTGTTTGGATGGAGGCAAGACGACTTAAAAACACCCCTCGCGCCCGCCGGCCTACAGTCGCCATTTTATTACGGTCTCGTGACGGGCGATTTGTCGATAACAATTTATCGATGTTTAGAGTTTCGAAGAAAGTTGTAAATGTTCCTCTTTCGTCGTTGTCCAGAGTGCTTGTGGTTTTATGTCGATGCTGAATTGTTTGAAGTCTGTTACTTGTTTGATTTCGTATGATAAAGAAGTTAACAGTTGAACTTTATTTTAAATGACACTTTTTATCTAAAGTTGTGTTAAAAAAATATTAATAATTATTACAAGAACCTATGTATCTACTATACTAGATAATAGCAGCTTTAATCATTATCATTATCATAAACATTTGTGTGTACTATGTAGGTACACACAAATGTTGTATTCAGAAGAAACCACGTATTTATGTCTAATAAATAAATCTACTACTTGTACATAGAAAGTAAATTAAAACTGCAAACTCTATTTAGATTTAACTTGAGCTAGAAGGTACTCTTACCGCTAGGTATGTAAAAATAGAATATGATATAATAGTATCGATATTTGGTAGAAGGTACCTCCCTTATTATCACGCATAGGCACGCCATGACACATCTGCCAGCTTGCCGTCATGCCCACTGAGCGCCGACCGTGTATACGTTGTTTACATGCCATGCAACCAATATATTTTTTACGTATCTATATATCACTTTTCTAATATACTATACTCATAATTTCTCTTCCAATATAGTGTTTATAATAATATTTTTTTATTTATTCTTGAACGAACATTGATGTATGATATCTTCTTTTATAATAGCTGATTGTTTTGTTTACCGATCATTTACAGTTTTGTAGGAAACCAAACCTGTGAATGTAAAAATCAATAATTGAGAAATCTGTACTGTGATTTCTCCTGAACTACTTTTCTATATAAGAGAATGCAGAATAAATTAATGCTAAGGAATAGCTTTTTAAACATACAGTTATGTCAAATTAATCTAAAACATTAAATATTTCTTTTTATACTGTGATTGATCGTAGCTTATAAATTTGAGCACTAATGTTGATAGAATATAGTTGTACGATATTACATTAGGTTCTATCTCTCGTCAAGCCAAAAGTGTTTGTCGTGCTCAACGTTGGTTATAATAAAAAATAAATTATATATATATATATATATATATATATATTATCATTTATTTTTTATAGTGCTCCATTAAAAAATGGAGTCGAGTACAGTCCAAATCCGCGAAATTACTTATGGAGAGACCGAAGATGTACTCCTATCTGACGTTATTCCCTATGTGAAACAGCTGGCTACTAACATACTTCTTCTCACCTCAAGAAGAAATTCATTGATATCGTTTCTTCACTACATGCGTAATGTGTTTAAAGTCTGACTATTTTTTTATCAGGAAGTGTTCTGTTTGTGGTTTTAAATGTTAGTTTTTATAAGATACACCCTCGTATAGTTCTATCTTGTACATAGTATTATTATAAAGTTTTTAAAATTTTTCGACTACACCAGTTCTACATTTTGTTTATTCTGTTATGTTAGTGGTTATATATACCTCTTATCAGACTGAACTGTTGAACCCTGGAAACAATAACTGAAACGAGTAGTACCCATAAAACATCTAGAAGTGTAAACTAATATTACAAAGTACTAAATCACAGATTACCTATACTTAACTGTATAACCTAGTCCCTACGCACAACTTCAATACTACAATAATGGCTCTTGCTTGATAGATAAAAACAGTACTTGCCTAGGTACACACAACTACAGCTATACAATAGTACTAATAGATTTTTTCACTAGGACAATAAAATTGTATGCAAAATTTTATGACATTTCATATTTACATCAACACTAACCACATCCCTTACTGCCGAGCCATAAAAAAGGCAGATACATAACAAATTGGACAATATTTCCCACAACGAACCAACGTCGAGTCGTATAATTTGAAATATTCATCCGTTCTAGCGAAGTTTGCATTTCTTTCCAAATCAGATTTACATGACAATGGTCACGTCGTAGCCCGATGAAATTCACATTGGAAGAACTCTGAGGAATTTATTAAAGGGAGCAAAAAGGTTGTAATAAAACCTGTGTCGACTCGACATTTCCGTGAAGACTCGGGCAAAGGAGCAAGTGAGTATCGGTTATATTTACTTTGCACCGAGCGCTGTGGGCTAGGTAGAGATTGCATACTTATAATTTATAAACCAATTATTATAAACATCTAATAATTTATTTACATTATTTAAATTATTTGTATACATTCTACAGATGCTGAGATACACGATATTACTGAATTGACAAAAAAAATATTCACAAAAAGAAACCAATGACGATGTTATTATAAGAACAACACAGCAGCAAATCTTGTCATATACAGATAGAATGATCGAAATTTAATCTATCTGAATTGAATGAATCAAATTTAATTATTATTATCTACATCTAATATTGGTGAAAAACAAGAAGTGCAATATACACTATATACTTTTTTTAAAATTAGAACACAAAGATCGCAATGTCTAGATATTGCATATCTACTTAAGAGTGAATGCTATAAGAATAACTTTCTAATTATTTAAAATAAATATTTTATATGTTAGTCATAGATAAATACATATGTACGACATGAATAGTATCATGTTGTGTACAGTACTTAATTATATTAACTGGGCTATTACTTTAATCTTCATGGCGTTGATGAAAATTTTAATGCCACATGTTACAAAATCCTCATCATGTTATTACTTAAACGTATACAGAAACCGGTATGTTGTGACCACGAAAAACGCGTGTGTAGACGTACTTAATCTGTCAAGATTATCAAAAAATAAAAATAAATAAATGTCACTAATTAATTAAAAAATAAGTTTTATGGTAAAACTGTAACTTTATCGTCTAAAATCAAGTTTGGAGAATCTTTTACTAAATTCTATTATATTATATTTACTCTACATTATACAATAACAAAAATTTTAATGTGTCATATAGATTTGTAGGGTTGTTATATAGTATGCGGGATAGCGATTTGTATGGTTTTTCTTTAGAGTGATTCACGGCTGCGTTTCGCCTAGCACTGTAATAGTATAGCAGGGTGGTACATGGTACTATAAAATCACCTTACATAATTATAGAAACGTTAGCTCTTCATATCTCAAAATAATCCTGATAAACAAATGATTGACCTGACACAAAAAAGATTGAATGCTAGAATGTTATGTTTTGTCCTTTTCATATGTCTAGTACCACTCACACCTCTCCTCGCCGACTTGCTAGCCCAACATCTAATTTTATAAGGTCGCTTACCGTGCGGAAACGTTATTCGGGCCGCGTCCCATGTAATGTTATTCTGCTATAGGGTGTGAGCCTCTTTTGTGCCCTTTTAACGAAATTAACGTAGTTCGGGCCAGGCGCGGCCATATGTAGACGCGATGCTATCAACGTATATCGTTACCTACCAACTAAGAATGCTACTTTGCTTACATTGTTATCACTTCTTTGTCTTGCATGTAATATTCTAATACCTTTATTGTGATTGAAATTTACTTTCCACACAAAAGGTATGACTGTTCAAAAGAGTAATGAAATTAGCATATATGGTGGACATACCAGTTGTTTTTTATATATTTCAGAATAAAATCAAGATTTTATTTAGATCCTATTTTTTAGACAAGTTATATTTATTTACGAATGCAATGTAAGGTTCTTAATGGTCAGTTATTTTTTACTATGAATAGTTTCGCATGTCAAACCTCAATATACATTTTAAATATATGTCTAATTATATTTTAGACATGCGTGCGTGTGTGTAGACATAATCCCTTTCTTTTAATGTCGTTTCATGAAAATTCAGAGAATTTAGAACTGTCTCAAAAATAATAAACCGCAGCTAATTGTTATTGAGTACTATTTCCTCTACAAAATCGCTTAAAAGAAACCTAAATATGTATCACAAAAGAGACCCTCGCTTATTTCAGCAACATAATGTTACATGTTACAGAGCATGTGCGGTTGAAATGTGTTTACAGTGTTGAAACGGCCACTTGTGCCTTATCAGCCAATTATTTCCATGTTAAAATGGTGAAACACGTGTACTTACTGATATTTTATTCTATGTAACATAATCATAAAAGTGAATGTGGT